GGGGGGGGGGGGGGAGGGGTGGTCCCCGACTCTGTGACATCATCAAGGGGCGGGGCTTCGGTTTTTGGGGTGAGAAACGGGACTCGGGGGAAATTCTCAGGCCCCACGGCAACTTCCTCCTTCTCAGGGGCCACCAGTTTCATTTCGTGGCCACTTCCTCCTCCTTTCGGGCAACCTGGGCTACCAGCTCCCCCCTCCCCCTCCACGCCCCCCAAAAAAGTGGTGGCCACTTGGGCAAGGACTTGTTCCTCTGCTGGCCACTGGCTCTTCTAAGGTAGCCCAGCGTTGTGTTTTGGTAGCCAAGCTCAGCCTTAAGCCCTTCTAAGGTAGCCCAGCGTTGGATTCTGGTAGCCAAGTTCAGCCTTAAGCCCTTCTAAGGTAGCCAAGCGCTGGCTTTTGGTAGCCAAGCTCCAGGAGAGGGACAACTGGGGCCACCAGAGCTCCACGGGGGGGTGGTCCATGCCAGTAGCCCCCCCAACACCCCTCTCAACGATGGTCTTCTCCTTCGTAGCCAAAGCCACCGCCCCCAAGGTCTACCCCTTGGTGCCCTGCGACTGCGACGACCCCACGGTCAGCGTGGCCTGTTTGGCCGCCGACTTCTTCCCCGAACCGGCCACCATCTCCTGGACCAGCCCCGTCTCCGGGCAGCAGGCCACCTTCCCAGTTCTCCCAGTTGCTGGAGGCTACTACAGCCTCATCTCCCAGTTCACCGTCCCGGTCAACCAGGTGGACAACAACTTCCAGTGCAAGGTGGCCCACAGCCCCACGGGGACCACCACCAAGACCATCGAAAGTGGCGGTAAGTTGCCCCTGGGGCTCATGTGACCTCTTGGTGGCCACCAGCTTGGGTCAGGGTTGGTGCTGGCCTTGTGTCATGTCTCGGTGGCCACCTCAATGGGTTGGGGTTGGTCCCAGGAGGCCACCTCGATGGGTTGGGGTTGGTCCAGGACTCACATGACGTCTTGGTGTCCACCTTGAAGGGTTGGGGTTGGTCCAAGGTGGCCACCTTGATGGGTAGGTGTTGGTCCAGGACTTGCACAACGTCTTGTTGGCCATCAAGATGGGTTGGGGTTGGTCCCAGGAGGCCACTTCGATGCGTTATGGTTGGTCCAGGACTCGTATGACGTCTTGGTGGTCACCTCAATGGGTTGGGGTTGGTTTTAGACTTGCATGACGTCTTGGAGGCCACCTCGATGTGTTGGGGTTGGTCCAGGACTTGCATGACGTCTTGGTGTCCACCTCAAAGGGTTGGTTTTAGACTTGCATGATGTCTTGGAGGCCACCTCGATGGGTTGGGGTTGGTCCAGGACTCGCATGACGTCTTGGTGGCCACCTGGATGGCTTCTCCTGGCCCCCAACTTTACGTGACACCTCGGTCACCTCTTCTCCTGGATCTTCTGCAGATATTTGTCCACATGAGCTGCCCCTGGAGGTCAAGCTCTTGGGTGACCCCAACAAGTACCAGAAGCAGCAGCAGGTCCTCCTGATGTGCCTCGTGGAGAGCCCCAAGGCCGGAGAAGCCACCATCACGTGGATGGTCAACCACGTGGAGAAGCCCCTCATGCCGGCGGTCACCACCTGTGACAAGTGCTCCGGGGACAAGGCCATCATGACCAGTCAGGTCAACGTCAGCCGGCAGAGCTGGGACAACGGGGCCGAGTTCTCCTGCAAGGTCACCCACCCTGAACTGAGCAAAGCCGTGGTCCAAGACATCAGCACCTTCTGCACAGGTGAAGTTGGTCTCCAGGAGGTCTTGGAGAGGTGGCCGGGTGGTGGGTCGGTCCATGGGAGGAGGGAGAATTGGCTGGTTGGTTGGGGGGTGGGATGGAGGTGGAAGGATGTGGAGATGGAGGGGGTTGGTGGACCCGCCAGAAGGTCGGGATGGTCAATGGTGGAAGGATGTGGAGATGGAGGGGGTTGATGGAGCCACCAGAGGCTCGAGAAGGTTGAGATGGATCCCAAGATCCACCAAGATCCACCACCTTAACCCAAGCTGACCACGTGGGTTATGGGGGGCCACCAAAGCTTTTCGCCTCCCCAATTTGGCGTCTGAAGGTCCTCACCCCCCAACCCCACCCTCCCCAGATAACACACGGGCGATGACCGTCACCCTCCTCCCCCCATCCATGGAGGACCTCTACCTCAGCCAGAACGGCAGCGTCACCTGCGTGGCCACCAACCTGAAGGACCCCAAGGACGTCAAGTTTGTCTGGAAGAGGGACCAAGGGAAGGTCTCGGATGTCACCAGGGGGACCCCCAAGGAACTGGAGAACGGGCTCTACCATCTCACCAGCACCTTGAAGATCGGCGCCGAGGACTGGAACTCGGGGGAGAAGTTCACCTGCACCATCCAAAACCCCCAACTGGAAGAACCCGTCACCAAGAGCATCAAGAAGGAACTAGGTAGGAGCCTCCCGCCCCACACTTTGCCCCACATCCGGCCCCACCGAGGTGGAGAGGGGGGGATGGGGGGGGGCTTGGTGGAGTCGTGGTGGCCAGTGAGAAGCTGGGTGAGAAGGGGAAGGGGTGGGGCAGGAGAAGAGGAGGGGTTGAGGACAGTGGAAGGTGCTGGTTGGAAGAGGCAGGTCAACTGGAAGAGGTCAACTGGAAGGGTCTACTGGGAGAGGTTGGCCAACTGGGATAGTCAACTGGAAGAGGCTAGTCTACTGGAAGAGGTTGGCCAACCGGGAGAGCCTCCTGGGAGAACCTAGTCTACCGGAAAGGTCTACTGGAAGAGGCTGGCCAACTGGAAGGGTCTCCTGGAAGGGTCTTGTCCACTGGAGAGGTCTACTGGGAGGGTCTACTGGAAGAAGGTGGTCTGCTGGAAGGGTCTAGCCTACTGGGAGAGCCTACTGGAAGAGGCTAGCCTACTGGAAGGGTCTACTGGAAGAGGTTGGCCAACTGGAAGGGTCTACTGGAAGGGTCTTGACTACTGAGAGAATCTACTGGAAGAGCCTAGTCTACTGGGAGAGTCAACTGGGAGGGTCTACAGGAGACAAGTCTACCGGAAGGGTCTTCTCCAGTGGTGAGGTCAACCGGGAGGGTCTACAAGAGGAGACCAATCTACTGGGAGAACCTACTGGAAGAGGTTGGGCAACTGGGAGGGTCTACTGGAAGAAGGTGGTCTACTGGAAGGAAGGGTCTACTGGAAGGAAGGGTCTACTGGAAGGAAGGGTCTCTGGAAGGGTCTACTGGAAGAGGTTGGCCAACTAGTGAGGTTGTAGGCCAACCAGGCCACCCAACGGGGAGGAGGTGGGTCTACTGGGAGGACCCCACCCCTCCACCCCCCCGACCTTGACCTTCT